TTATCCTAGCTCTTTATAAACAAATGTAAACCCTTTACTGTCGTATTGTATTTCACTATTATACTTTCCTACATCATAATATTAAAAAAATTGTATTATAAATTTTACTTTCGTGAATGTTGTAATACCTCTATGTATCGCTTTAGCAAAATCGATGCGTAAATACCGAAATCCTTTTAGCAAATTTTAAAGAACGCAATCGATATCCTTTACTTGTTGATTTACCTTTACTCAAAGGAATATTTAATGGAGCTTGAAGCTTTTAGGAGAGGATTAATTACCTGCCTGACTGTCTTTGAAAAGTTTTAAATTCCAATATTGTTGCCAAATAAGGTGTGGGTAAGATGAAAATTCCAAAGGTAAAAGTACATAAAATTTAATAGTCCTTGTGTACCTCAATTTTATAATATTTATAGAATAAGAGTACAAGAACGGACATTGATAGAAAAATAAAAGTTGCAAAACAGATATGTTTATATTTACCAAAATTAATTATTAATTAAAAAAGCTCCAGGCGAGTTTCAGTTCAGGAAATGTACAGTGCGAATAACTGACATATCCTGTCTGTTCAGCTAACCTGGGCAAACAAATTATTAAAAAATATCATTGTTACTTTAGAGCAGAAATAGTCTATGTTCGAAATCACAACTTTTCAGGAGAGCAATTTGAAGTTTGGTTTTTCATTATTTTGCTTGTCAAATATTAACGTTTACTTTTATGCATACTTTTCAATTCATTCAGAAACTTTTACATTCTATAAAACAAGTTTTTTTTCTTTCATTCTTTTAATAAAAAATTAGGTGGAAATAGACTAGTGCTGCATCAGAATTATTAGTGCAGAAGTAGTTTATCTGGACTTATGTTAGTTCTACACTAATAATATTCTCCATAAACACACAGTTGCTATTTAAGTAAAGCAGAATAAAGGAATGATTAAATAAATTACTACTATTACAAGCGAAACACACTAAGTCAATTTTTTCACTTTTGAGTTATTTGCAGCATTTTATTGTATTTTTTTTTACTCTTTAGACTGGTTTAACTCACTAAGTCATACAATAACAAAAACGGTTATTTTTATAATTATCATGTTTCTCACTAAGTCTCAAAAACTATTTCACTTGACTACGAATGAACCTACCGACTAACTTACGCAGAGCAACTTGTCCAATCTTGTAAAACATTAATTATTTATTTGGGTATATTGCATAGGTTTTGTCAATTTTATTCCAGTATTTTGCGTGATTAGGTCGTTAACAGTTTTGAATTTTGTGTGTATTTATTAATTAATTTCTGTAAGAAAAATAAAATTTTCTGTCGAAATACCTACAGCGATAAACAAAGACGTGAGTCTAAATTCTGATAATTTTTGTCAAGATATTCAGTCAGATCCTCCTCAATAAGTGACCAGGATTCTGATGAATGTATGGAGGATAGCGACTATATTCCTTCAGGTAATGAAAGTGATAATTTAGATACCAGCGAAGGAAACTCTACAGCAGACGAGGAAAAAACAAATTCAAATGAAAATAGTCAAGTAGGACCTAAAAGAAACCGATGGAACACCCCAAGACCATCTGTGTGGTCAACATCCCAAGACCATCAACTTTTCTGAAGAGAACCGGAAGTTGCTATGTCAAACTTATGTGATGTTGTCCTTTCAAAGACAGAAAGATTTTATATTATTGAATGTGCTTTCTAATGAAGTAAAGAGTCGAAGGCCTAGAAAAAGAGAAAATAGTAAAATGCGATCCAACGCAAAATCCTATTTTTTCACAAATATGGAAAAGAAAAGTCAAGTGTGTCAGAAATTTTTTTGTAAAACATTGTCTATTTCTAATAGGCCTATAATTAGTGTCTTTAAAGGGCAAAATGAAAGCGGCGAATAGAGTGGAGTAGACAGAAGGGGCCGTAGGATTTCTGGCAATAAAACTTCAGTGAAAGCAAAAATAAGAGCAAAAAGACACATTGAAAGCTTTCCTTTTGTAGAAAGTCACGACACTAGAAAGTCTTCGAAAAGACTTTATTTAAATAGTCAAGCTTGAGTCAGATAACTTATAGACGAATCTTTTGCAAGGAATTTAATATATCATTTTTCAAATCTAAGAAAGACCAATGTTTGACCGGTAAGGAATACATAAAAGCATCGCAACAAGAAAAAGAAGCAATGGAGCTTAATTATAGGAGTCATTTAGACAGAAAAAAGTTGCAATAAAAGAAAAAAATTCAGACAAAGAAGTATCAAAAAGAATAAAAAATTTAAATCAATTGCATGTGATATGCAAAGCGTTTTACAAATTCCATCATCGCAAGTAAGTCTCGTGTATTATCTTAGAAAGCTGAAACTCTATAATTTTACAATTTAGGAATCTGCTCCACCAAATGAGGCATTCTGCTATTTTTGGACCGAAGTCAATGGTAAGCGTGGAAGCTATGAAATTGGTACTTGCCTAGGAATGTACATTAATTCATTATCTGATATAGAACATCTAACGATTTTTTCAGATACGTGTGGAGGACAGAACAAAAATATTCAAGTATCTGCTCTGCTTTCACATATTGTTAAAAACCATCCGAGTCTTCGGATAATTGAGCAAAAGTTCATGGAAAGTGGACACTCCTATATGAAAGTAGATTCCATGCATAGAAAGTACAAAAAAAATGTGGAGATTTTTAGTGTTCACGAATATGAAAATGTCTTCAAAAATGGCCAGAATGGGCAACAATGGGAATAAAAAATATTCCTATAATACTCGTGAAGTTAATTATAACGAATTCTTAGATTTGAAAAAACTTGCACAATATACTATTGTTAATAGGAAAAAGGATCAAAAAGGGCAAACGGTCAACTGGTTAAAGGTAAAGTGTTTTAAGTATGAGAAACCGTTTCCTAACATTCTACAGTACAAGTATAATTTTCACGACGAATATAAAAATATTAACGTTAGTTTTGTACGTCGTGCTTCTAACAGAACAGTCAAAGAGGATAATAATAATGAAAATTTGGTTATTCCTCAATTATATTCTAAACAGCTTCCAATTTCGGATGCAAAGAAAAAAGATTTGATAAGCTCTGTGAAACAAATATAGTTCCGCAAGCGCTCCATACCTGGTTCAAAAATCTACCAAGTTCCTCTTCTGTTCGAGACCAAACAGCGGAGTCTGCTGAAAAGGACTCTGACGAAGAAGACTTTGAAAATTAGAAGTATATTTTTTTGTTATACACGTTTTGTTTTGTTATACCTGTTTTTTTTAATAATGTTCTTGTTTTGTGAAAATATACATGAAAAAAGTAAAAACTTATATAAGCAAAAATTATTGTATTATTTACAATGTAAACGAAGCCTGCAATAATCGTATGACAGTAAGTAAATAAAAAAAAATACACGTAAGTCATACTTTCATAGCAAAATTAAACAAGTAAAACACACTAATTTAAATGCTACAGGTAAAAAACATTAAGTCAACGTATTCAAATCAAAAATTAAACAAAAATTAATAATTTGGTAATATATAATCTACTTCTCCTCGTCAGTAACCATTATTAATACTTTATGAAAACTTTCGTACAATTACAAAACAATAAATAAAAGTTTTAAATGTGAAAATTGATCAAACTGTTTTTAAAAAAATTTAAAACACGATTATCTCAAAACTATATTTTTTGACTTAGTGTGTTTCGCTTGTAAGCCGACGTGTTCATAAAAATACAAATATTTTATACAGTATGAAACTTTATATGTCACTTATTACAAAGTAAATTATAAAAACAGTAATTTCTTAAATTAAGTTCCCTTATGAGTTTAAATTCAAATAGAAGTCATGGTACACAGTCGGAGTGACCGATTTACGTAAATATTTTAAGTTCTCTAATTTCTTTGTAGGTACTAATAGGTAAACTTTCAGCATTCAACATTTGCAGGTTATTATGTACTGAAAAAGTTTTTCTTTTTGTCTTGCGCTCAGTAGTAATTCTGATAAAATTCACATCATCATAATTGTATTTTATAAAACCAGCATGCAGGTGATTAAGCTCAACCATTATGACACGCACCTATAGGAGGAGACCTATATCCAACAATGGAAGGATAGAGAATATTAAAAAAAAATAGCAAATAGCAGTAAACAATGGATATAACGAACAAACAATTAAGAAAACGTTAAATGAGAAACTACACAAGAAAGCCCTGAAATTAGTATTTCCACCACCAGAGAAAAAACCCAGTACCTTCTGCTCGATTACATAGTCAAAATATCAACAAAAATAGCCAAACACATAAAAAGAAAGAAATAACACCAGCTTTCAGAACAAATAACAACTTAAGCAAATATATTAAAAACAACAAGAGCCAGAATAAAAAACACTTGCACAGTAGTGTGTACGAACTTAAATGTGGCGACTGCCCAAAAACTAACATCGGTCAAACTGGTAGAAATTTTACTAAACGAATAGCAGAACATAAAATTTCTTTCAATAATAGAAAAACAGAATCTACATACGCACTTTACCTTCTAGATCATAATCATTCTTTTAATGACGAATTTAAAATTCTTCACACTCAAATTAAAGGCCTTAAACTATCTTTGTTAGAATCTATGAAAATCAACATATTGAAAAACACATATATTTCTGAATGACCAAGTTGAGACAAACAGTTCTCCCCTCCTCAACTTATTTCATTATAGAAAAGAAGAAGATTATAAAGTGTAAATGCATGCCAAAAATAGATCACTTGAGAAAGTCAATCAGCCGAAACAGGTGTAGTGATAAGAGTTTAAAATAAATTTTGTGAAAGTCTGAAAACAAATTTTTCAGTGTTTTATTGTTTCACATATACAATTCAATGATTTCTGATCATTTATTTAATGGTAGACTGTCACTAAGATGGTTTACATACCTCAAAACCACTTATTTCAAGCCACTTAATTAAAATACAGTACTGCCCTTTGTCATAATACCCTATATAAGAAGACACTAATAAATTTACTTTTTGTTACAGGAGCTCACCTATCTCGAATGCCGTGGCTGTGCCTTAACCACATTGAACAACGAAATATACCACCTGCTGCCAGATCTAATTCACTTAGACCTAGGTAAAAACGATATAAAGAATATTTCACAAAACGATTTCCAGAATCTTCAAAGTTTGCGACATCTTAAGTTAGATAGTAATATTATATATTCAATAGACATCTCAACGTTTTCCTCTCAAGCAGCTTTGAGAAAACTTAGTTTATCGAACAATAAAATAAACAAAATATCACCTGGATCATTTTCTGAGAATCATAATTTGACTGAGTTGGATATAAGTTACAATAGAATAGACGATATGAGCTTTTTAGAACCCCTGTATGATATTTTAGAAAAATTGGACCTTAGCGGTAATCACTTACGTACTGAGTTATTAACAACACTTGTAAATTTAAACAGTTTAAAGGAATTAAGATTGGCTGACTGTGGATTGGCTCAAATAAACGCAGAAGTGATTCCGAAAAGTGTCTCTGTTCTAGATTTGAGTGAAAACTATTTGTCATCTTTAAATAAAATCATTTTACCCAGAAATCTTACAACTTTAGACATATCTGGTAATAGATTCAGAGGTTTAGAGGAAGATATTTTGCTTTACTTGGATAATACGCAGAATATTAAGCTGGGCCACAATTTATGGTCTTGCGATTTGTGCCATATCGTCCCTATGCTGGAAAGAACTAACAAAAGTGCAGTGTTCCGCGATGTAACGTGCTCAGCGCCGTACATATTTAAAGGCAAAAAGCTCGAAAAGATCCAACGTAATGAACTCACCTGGTGCAGCTCTGCCAGTTACACGGCGAGCGACGCCAACTTTTTTTCGTTAGGCGAGGACGGTAAAGTGGGAATTATCGCAGCCAGCACTTCAGTGTTTCTACTTCTTCTAACCGCATTCGCAATAATCGGCGCATTGTGTTACGCTAATCGACACGCCGCCCGATATTACACCCACGAGGATAAAATAGCCACTATCGAAGGAGAATCGATTTTTGCCAGTAATCACAGCCCATTGTTTTGTGATGGGGAACTTAACTTCAAGTTTCCTCTGGATATGGAGGAGAAAAAAATTTCCATAGCTACTATTGATGAGATTAAAAAAGAGCATGCGATTACCAATGGGACTTGAGCAGATTTTTAGTCCGGTTGATGTGGTATTTAGGTATGAAATAAAAATAAGTGTTCAAAAAATTGTAACATAAAGAAGATGCTAATTATTCAAGATTATATCTAAGGTTAGAATTATAATTTTTAGAATAATCATTTTTATAAAGATTGAAGATATTTATTACGATATTTAATAAAATTATATATATCTAAATAAAGAGCCAAATATTTTTATCCGCGGGTAACATAATTCCAGGTCATTACCTGGAACAACTCAGCTATCTCTCTTAAAAGTAGCGCATCCAAAGTTGGTTATAAATATCCTGCACGATTCAACTGCGATGTATCATGAACTTCCTATATCCATTATTTGGTCTCACAATGTTTTTTAGGTCACCTTGTTAGTCAAAGTCCTCCTTTTTCTATATGTATTTTTTTATTTAATCCTCTTACGGCAGATTCTTTTTTGCAAAAATATACATCACATTAGAGATATTGGTCAAAACACTTTATTCAACATACTGCTACAAGTATTTTTGTCAAAATATAAATATACTTTTTTCAAAAATGCAGTTAAGTTTTGGTAACGCTAGCCGGCTATGGTATACAAAAAATTTTTGAACAAGGAAATTATAACTGTAGGGCATGAAACATTATGATACATTATAGGCCAGAGGTTCCCAAACTTTTTTGTACCACGTCCCCTTTTGTTGAAATAAAAGATTCTTGCGCCCCTCACCCCTTAACAATAAACTATATGTATTGTATAAAATACAAAAATATTAATAAAAGAAATATAGATTAGGTTGGTTACTGCGATGAATGTGCTTTGCATTTTTTTACTAGTATGCCTATTCGTGGCTGAGCTTTAGTGTAAATGCACAACGCCAGTCACTAGCAGTATCAAGTTTTTTCCGATACTTTGTTTTAATTGTAAGTGTTGAAAATGATTTTTTGCACAAATAAGTGCTTGAAAAAGACAAATATAAACGAAGAGCTTCTCGTGATACCCTTTTTTTTTTGGTGGTAAATCTTCTAAAAACCGTACAAGGCCGTGTCCCGTTAAGGATGACCTGGCGTGTGTTGGATTCAGGGTGGAACGATCCATCCGCACGCAGTCCCCCCAGAGGAGTCGTGCTCACAGATACACCCATAGCTCCCTGCCTGCCAACTAAAGTCCACCCCCTTTATACAGGCTACTCATGCGGTAGGTCCTCTCCAGACCGGTGCATCACATGAATAGCCCGTCCCCTCTCTCTCTCTCTCTTTCGCCCTCTCTCTCACTCTCTTACCTACCTTTGCTGTAGATTCCTCTCTAATATCTCCTTCTTTCTGACAATTTGAGTTACTGCCTCCAATATTGCCTTGTACTCAGTCTTTCCTCTCATTGCTACCTGCATTATGGTATTTGTACTTACCCTACCTAGCTTTCTGTATAATTCGTTTCTGTCCTCATCAAATCTTCTGCACTCGAATACACAGTGCTCGGCCGTGTCAGCCACTCCACAGTCTGTGCAGTTTCCATCCGCAACCTTCCCTATCCTTTCTAGATAGGCCCTGAAGGAGCCGTGTCCTGTTAGGAACTGGGTGAAAAAGTAATTGGTGTCTCTGTCCCCGCACTTTATCCAGTCTGCGATATTTGGAATTAATACCCTCGTCCAGGCCGCTCTATACTCATTTGTCCATTCTTCCTGCCATTCCGTTAGGCTGCTATTCCTAGCTATTATTTTCTCCTGCTCATCCTTCCCGTAGGTTTCTGCCCTTTCCTTCACCATCAAGTGGATGGGTAACACACCCGCGATCACTTGTATGGCCACCGTTGATGTTGTTCTGTATGCACGTGCTACCCTTAGTAGTGCTTTCCTTTGGGCTTTCTCTAGCATTCGTCTATATTTCTTGATGTTAAGCACTTGTTGCCATACCGGTGCCGCGTAAAGTATAGTAGAGTGGACCACTTCCATTAGAATTCTCCTTTTGGCGGTCCCCGGACCCCCACATTGGGCATAATCCTTGTCAGCGCCGCAGTCCTCACCTCTGCCTTGCTAACGACATATTTCACGTGCTCGCCAAAAGTTCGCCTCGTATCTAGGACTACTCCCAAGTACTTCACTTTTTGGCAGGTACGATCCTTTCTCCCTCCAGGACAAAAACTATATGGTCTCTGGCCCTCGGACCCTTGAGAATCATAGCTTCAGTTTTCTCGGCCGCTAGCATGAGATCTCTGCTTCCCATCCACGTCTTCACTTTGTTGAGGGCTCGATTCCCTCTCTCGTGATACCCTAGGATACACTTTGAAATGTTTGAACCAAAATGAAGGTTTGTACATTATTTTTTATTTTTTTTTAAAGCCCTTTTCTCTATTCGGATTGCCGAATATAAGCCTGTCCTAATTCTTGCCATTCATCTTTGTTGTTTGTAAGACGTTTCCACATTGGCCCTGTAGTTCTTTTAATATCGTCGCTCCACCACATTTGCGGTGGTCTTCCTCGTTGTCTTTTGGCTTCATATGGCCGCTAATTCCCGATAAATTTTCTCTATTCCATCAGCCATCCTAACGATGTTCGTTACGTACAGCCCATTTCTATTTGTTTATCTGCCTGTGCGACAGCATCTTTTACTTTTGTTCTAATATTTTCCATTATATCAAAGTTGTATTTTACAATCATGTTTTCTTTGCAAAGCCTCTTCTTACAGTAATTCAGGCAGTGAGTATATGTTGATATGAAATGGGTCTGTTGACATTCTGAGAATACTATCGTCACAAGTGTTTGGAAAGTATTTCTTTAACTCTTCAATTAGGCTCTCCAAATGATTTGATATTTAGATTTTCAAACTTACTTACTTACTTACTCCGTGGCGTTACAACCCTTTGTGGGTTTTAGCCGACTCGACAAAATGCCTCCACTGTTTTCTGTCTTGAGCAACCTCCATCCAATTCTCCACGCCCATAGTGCTTAGGTCTCCTGCTATTTTCTTGATTCTTCATAAATGTCCCTGAAGCGTGTTTCTTCTGAGATTGACTTTCCTTTAGAAAAAGTCGAATAAGTGCGGGGGTTTGCTGATACTTTGCGGCTCCAAAGTTGCAATTTATTAATATAAATCTTAATCGCATCACGATGAGTAACTGTATTTGTTACCCTACAGTAAGGCTGTTCAACGAGTTAAAAATGTCTGACAAATAAGCAAATATTACTTGGATACAATGTTTTTTAAAGGCCAGGTTCAGTTCATTATGCTTTTGCTGTTTCAAGAAGGTGATTACTTTATCTCAAAGGTCAAATAATCTTGCCAACATGTTTCCTTTTGAGAGCCATCCTACTTCTGTACGAAATAACACTGTTTTGTGATCACTCCCTAAATCTTCACAAAGAGTTTTAAACAGTCGAGTATTCAACATACTATTTTTTATGTAATTTACCACTTTACTATACAACTTTAAGACAGAATCCAGTTTTTTTGAAAGAGTTTTTGCTGCCAAGGCTTCTTCGATGTACAACACAATGTATCCCAGTCAAATCGGCATTTTTTTTCTTACTAATTGTACAAATCCTGAGCAAGAACCAATCATTGAAGACGCACCATCCGTACATACACCGATCAGCTTTTGCCAAGAGAGTTCATGTTTGTTAAAAAAGTCACTGCTCTCATAACATCAATAACTTTTGTCGTGGTCTCAAACTCTGTAGAAAAGAGTAGCTCGTCTTTACGAGCTACTCTTTTCGTGAGAGTAGCTCAGTGATAACTTTCGTGATACGTAGCTCAGTGAGAGCTACGAATACTTTCGTTTTCAATATACTGAACATAAACAATTAATTCAAAACATTGTGCTATGTCTGTACTCTCGTCTAGCTGAATAGAACACAATGGCCATTATTTTACTGCATCAACTACCTGGTTTTGTATATTTGTATATGGGACGTACTGAAAAATTAGGTATAAAAGGAAAATAAATTTGATTTATGCCAGTAATAGGAAGGTTGTGTTGATACTGGTTTTTGTCTTTTTATTCAGGTTGGTTAGAGTAATTTCTAATTCAGAAGAAAAAATGATTTAACATTTTTACAGCTTGTCTTAGGAGAAGTTTCTAAATTTTGAAAACATCTGGCTTTGTCCTGCTTAATTTTCGCTATCATACAGATTCTAAATATTCTTTTGATTTATAATAATAAAGCATTAAAACCCATAAGACAAAAATTTAATTAATAAGCATGGTTTGATTAACGAGCATGGAGTTCAAAAATGCCAAATACATACGGTTTGAGCTAGCTGGAAAATAAATAATAATTAATTATTATTAATTAACTGTTAATGATATCGTTGTATTGACAGGTTCAAAAATTTAAAACAAATGACTTATAATATTGTGTCTATAAATTTGAATAAACATTGATAACTAAACCGTTGAATAAAAATATAGCTTTATTTTTTTAGTAAAATTGATCGGACTATTTCGCGAAACAAAAAACGAGATAATGGATTGGCGGTGTAGCTACGGGATACACCAAAACGATTCTATTCAGTTCTGTGTCTTTATAGAGTTACTTTATTTACAAAATTTAGCTTTATTTAGACCGAGATAGTCGAACTTGGCTCTTTTCAGGCTTTTATGAACGTGTAAATGGAAAACTTTTGTTTTTTTTTTTGGAAACATCGACGTCTTTTTTGGTTGGTAAATTATTTCGGCATTATTTCCCATCTTTCCTTTTTATGCCAAATCAATCCTCAGCTGACGAGATCAGACACGATGTGTTTTACTAAGAATGGAAAAAATTGGCAAATAGTTTACTTAGAATCAAATTAAACTGAATAGTGACATATAGATGCATTAAGAGGTTTCATAGCTCTTGCATTTTCAAAAAATCGATTAATTTTTTTTCATACATACGAAAGTATGGTAATTCGAGAGTATATACACCAAATTTGAAGTAAATTTGAGCAATATTCGCGAAAATAAAGATTTGAATATCTCGCGGTCGGTATGTGGGCTTTCAAATTAAAAACTTTAAACGCGTTTTTTTTCGC